CAGGTTTGAATAAGTAGTGTCCCCAGGCCAAACACCTAAAGATCAATCCCTCGATTCAGAGAGAAAGTACAGTAGTTCATTTTATTTAGCACTTCATAGCATTTTCAAAAATTATTAATTTATTAGCATTAATAGATGCTGAAAGTGATCCTATGTGCCAGAATCACTCAGCTTAGTCTCATGATCCCCAACTATATATGTTTCCTTAGCTGCTAAAAGCTTAGCAGTGATCAGTTTCATCCTTAGTTCTCCTCCCCCATATTTGCCTTTCAATTGTATGTCCCTAAGACAATTCTATGCTCCCTAGAAGATCACTGAGAAATCATGCATCAGTTAGCCTTGATGGCCTCTTGGCTTAGATATAAGCAAGATAACATTTTGACTATATTTTCGTTCATGTTACATGTACTTTATTCCTCTAGGAAGAAAAGAGCAGAACCTCCTTCTAGCTCTGAGATCCTTGGCTCCACCTATGAAAATTGACTGATTCTAAGTCTCCTCGTTGTTTTACTATCTAGTGGTGTACCATTCACTAAAAAAAAAACAACAACAAAAAAAACTTTATAGAGGTATAATTGAAATACAATAAACTACACATACTACACATACTTCAAATGTATGATATGATAAACTTTGGTATGTATATACCTATGAAGCTATCACCACAATCAATATAACAGACATTTAGATCACCCCCAAAGTTTCCTTGTGTCACTTTGTTATCCATCTCTCTCTCTAATCTCTTCCCCAGACAACCACTTATCTTTTTTCTATCACTAAAGATTAGTTTGCATTTTCTAGAATTTTATAAAAATGAAAGTATACAGTATGTAGCTGTTTTGTCTATTCTTTTACTCAGAATAGTTATTTTGAAGTCCATCATGTTGTTATGCATCAATAGTTCATTCCTTTTTAGGACTGAGTAATATTCCATTGCGTGGTTTATCTTTTCACCTATTCATAGACATTTGGGTCTTTCTACATTTTAGCTATTAGCTACTGCTATAAAAAACTTGTACAGAAGCCAGGCGCAGTGGCTCACACCTGTAATCCTAGCACTCTGGGATGCCGAGGCAGTAGGATTTTTTGAGCTCAGGAGTTCAAGACCAGCCTGAGCAAGAGCGAGACCCCATCTCTACTGAAAACAGAAAAATTAACTGGGCATCATTGTGGCCCATGCCTGTAGTTCCAGCTACTCAGGAGCCTGAGGCAGGAGGATCCCTTGAGCCCAGGAATTTGAGGTTGAAGTGAGCTATGATGACGCCACTGCACTCTACCCAGGGTGACAGAATGAGACTCTCTGTCAAAAAACAAAACAAAACAAAACAAAACAAAAAAACCTTGTATAGGCTTTTTGTGTAGACAGAAATTTTCATTTTGGTGGGAGATGTGTCCAAGTGTACAATTGCTCTCCTGGTAAGTATAGTTTTACCTTTTAGGAAACTGTTTTCCAAAGTACTTGTACCATTTTGCTTTCTCACACCAGTGTATAACAATTGTAGTTTTCCCCACCTTTGTCATCATAACTCTTGATATGGCTAGAATTTCATTTTGGCCATTCTAGTAGGTGTGTAGTGGTATCTCATTGGGGTTTTAATTTGCATTTTCCTGGTAACAGTGATGTTCAACATCTTTTCATTTGCTTATTAGCTATTCCTACATCTTTCTTGTGAAGTGTCTCTCTAAACCTTTTGCCCACTTAAAAATTTGATGCAACACTATTAATCTACTCAGAGTTTTTCTTTTACAAGGCTGCAAAATATATTTCCCTTAGAATAAAAATTAAATACATGTTTATAAGATTGCAAATACATCATTCACTTGGCCACATCTATAACTGTTTACTCTTAAAATGTAGTTTCTCATGGCACTAGTACTTAAATTTCTCTCATGACTAGTTTTTTGGTAAGAATATTTCTATAATAAATCCAGTTGAACTTTTTATTCTCTAGGGAATATGTAGTATTTTAGGGAACAAGGTGATATGTGCAAGGCTAGAAAACAACCACTTAAGGTACATTGTAAGTGCTTTATAGATAATGCATCCTATGGGAATTTTGAGCACCACCAACACTTATGTGTATTTAAGGAAATATTTTATAATGGTAGCACTGATTTCAAGAAAGGGAAGTAAAGCAGTTCAATGAACATCCCTTACTATAAATAAGTGAATCTTTTTCTTTCTTTTCTTTTCTTTTTCTTTTTTTAAAATTTCTTCTTTTTTTTCTCTCTCTCTCCCTCTCTTCTTTTTTGTTTTACTACTTTTAAAAAAAAGAGTAAGTGATAGCTTGCTTGGATTGTTAGTTTTTAAATTATAGTTTGACAAGGAAGTATACTTTTATCTGACTATATTTAATTAGAGAATTTTTTATTTAGTCTTTGTATTCAAATCAAGGTTTAGTTTCAATAGAAAATAAATTGTTCATCCTATGCAATTTTTGATCATATTGAACAATGTTTCTTTAGAAGGGAACAAATCCATGTTCAAATTTCCTTTTGGATGGGAAAAAAATCTCTTTAATAAAAATAGAATCTGTTTATATCTGTCAGTGCTCTCTTTTAAAAAAAAATAAAAACCTTAGTGTTTTATTAACCTAGGATGACAAATTGGTCATGTATTTATTTTTATTTGCTTATTGTTTTTGAATGAATATCATGACTCAGATGCTTATATTAATTAAAATCTTTGGAAAACTACATTTCATATGCCATTGTATAGCTAAATGCAAGTCTGTGCTTTGGGAAATAAATTTTCTAATTAGTGCCCTGAATCCATGGAAAATAAATGGAGGCACTTCATAGCAATTCAGAGCAGAAGATTTCTTTATTGTGTCTTTAAATAGAATTAGAGATGGTGCAGCAAAATATATGGTAATGCTATGGTAAGATTATACCCTCACTACTCCCCTTTTCCTGGCTCCCATTGACTTCAGAGAAATATCTAGGGCAGTAGTTTTCAAAGTGTGGTCCCTGGACTAGAACCATGGTCCTCCCCAGGGAATTTGTTTGGAATGCAAATTCTCTGGCCCTACTCCATACTTTCTGAAACAGAAACTGAAACTAGGGAGTATAGGTGGGAGTAGGGTGCAGCAATCTATGTTTTGACAAGCCTTCTAGGCAATTCTGAAGTAGACAAATTTGAAAACCCATGGTCTAGGAGAATGAAGGAAGTTGTGAATGCAGGCCTATATAAAATTCATTTCTTACATCTTCAAACTGACAGGTTCATTACCAGGTTGCTGTAGCAACAACTGCACAGTAGGATTGGATAATGAAACATTGTGAAATTAAGAAGCATGAATATTAGCATATCCCAGTATTCTAGATCACTAAGATTTATATTGGGCAAAATGGATATTTACTTTTTAGCCTTATGGCAAGAAGTATGGTTTGATAAGCTTTTATATTTGATAAGTGCAAACCATGCCTATTTTTTAAACATCATTACTTTGGAATTTAGACAAGTTTTTATAAAAAAACAGAATTACTCTTAAAGACATTCATCACAAGAGTCATAAAATAACATACTCAGCAATCACTTATAACCCTGAATGAGTTCATTTTAATTGAATTTTCCTAATACATTTTAGTAGCTTTATTTGCCTACAATATCTATTTCACAAAACACAGTGCTAGGCACCTAATGGCTATTAAATAAGCATTAAGACTTGATTTGTTAAACCCTTATTTGGCAATTATATGTCACAAAAATAGTTATTTTTAAAAATATATTCACATTCTACACTCTTATCTTTAGTATATTGTCTAAGTTCCCGGACTTTCTGTATTCAAAGAATTAAATTCATGTTAGGGTTTGCATTTTATTGATATGTGCTAGGGATTAGATGCACTCAGTTAAGCTTCTTCCTGGCCAAACGACATACCCTGTCTCTGATGTCAGTCTGAGAAAATCCTATATAGTGTACTACATCTCCGGATTACCTTATCTAAGTATTACATGGACATTTCAGGTGATGTGTCTTGGCATGTGGTCATTTTTCATTAACTTATTAGGGATTGTTAAAGCATCTTTTCACCTTTTTGACACCTTGCTATAATCGAATGTAAAATTGACTGTAAGACTGAATGCCTGATATTCATGTAGTAAGTTGATGGGACTTCCTTGGTGCCTAGCAGAAACCATGTCCAGATGGCTGTTATAAGAAAAACGACTCTGTTGCTATCTGATGTGTGCTATGGACAAATAATATCTATTGTCTGAAGTTTATTTTCCTCAACTGTAAAAAGAGGAGATTTGTTACATCATCTTTAAGAGTCTAAACATTTTATAATTCTGAGATCTGGGAGGAGGGAGGGGAAAATCCAAACCATGAAGTACTGCCAAGATATGATATATGACGGAATATTTTTTTATTAATTGAAAGAATGAATTAAACAGAATAATTAGTATAAAGTAGACCTTAAATTCCTTTGGAAACAATGAGAAATTATAATGTTCAATACTCATAATTTTAGAGTTTAAATTAATGTGTTTTAGGCAAAATACTTTGGAAAAGTATATTTGAGCTTAATGTTATTTTTCTCAGTTTTCACATTGAATTATTTATTCTCAACTGCAATGTGTATGAAATACTTAGAAAAGCAAATAATTTTAATATTTTAAGCATAGGTGTGCTCTACAGATCATATATATTCTACCTAGAAGAGAAATATCTTTTAAAGGACAGCTCTCTACACTTTATACTCTTCTGCTCACTTATTTCATTACATTTTGTGCAACCTAAAATTGTAGCTATAAAGCTATTTTGGGCATGCTTTTTCCAGAACCTTGTAAGAATCAACAGGAGCATAATTTTAAGCTACAGAAGTGCAAAATAAGCACAGAATCCTAGCTCCCATAAATAAAAGGCCAGAATTCTAACTTTGCAAAAACACATAATTACTAGCAATGGGGGAGGGGGAGATGAGGACAAAAAGTAGAATTTTATCGAGTATTTCTTCACATTGCTAAACTTTTTTTGAACTTTATTCCTTCTCAGAGATGGAATTCTGTGAAACCTCTCATACTCTGTGCTCTGGCTACCAGACAGACATGCACAGTGTTTCTCGGCATGGCTACCAGCTAGAGATGGCATCTGATGTGGACACAGAGACAGAGGGTGCTGCCTCACCAGACCACGCACTAAGAATGTGGATAAGGGGAATGAAATCAGAGCATAGTTCCTGTTTGTCCAGCCGGGCCAACTCTGCATTGTCCTTGACTGACACTGACCATGAAAGGAAGTCTGATGGGGAAAATGGTAATAAAACTACCTTTACTATTTAAGTAAAACACAAAGAGAAAGCAGTTTTAGCCTCTCCTTTGTTTTCTTTCCTTATATCTGCTCTTTCATTTAATATGTGGAATGGAAATACAAGTTAGCAGGGACTCATGGAGAAGGCGTGTACTTAAGTATCTGGTAAATAAACATTTATTTACAATGATAGGCCAAATGCTTTCCATTTTTGGTGAACCCCCAAGGAAAATAATCTCATGTAATCAGCAATATTGTGCATGTCTTTTTTATGACTCATCTTTTATTTTTTCTTTATTTTCCAGTGTAATATTAGTGGAATTTATTACAGAAAGTACTCATTTCATGTAATTTGGCTTTATGTTAATATATGAATAATGAGGTGAACAATTGTGTAGAAAGCACATACAGCGTGTGTATGTGCTTTCTGTTTTGATTCAGATTAACCTATTGAATGTACAGACAGACTCAAATTAACCAAGTTGGACTGAAAAGATTTAAAAACAGAAAGCGGATTAACATCAGGCATTTGATAGATAATAAGTACTAACAGCAGTATCATTATATTGTAATTATATATTATTTTCTTATAATTATTTAGAAAAGGAAAAGTTTTTATTTTTTTATTTGTTGGAAAAGAGTCAATTTATTTTATTTCTGTTCTTCTGTCCCTACCAAAGAACAAAATCCTTTCATGAAAAGCACATTAATGCTGATTAAACACATTAATCTAGTCTCCTCATCATTATGTTTGCCTAAATTTTATAGGTCCCCATCACCATGACCACAAGGCTTAGTCTGTTAGCAGTGGCTAATTTGTATTTTCTCAAGTGACAGAGAGGTAGCCAACTACCCTGTACCTGTAGTTTTTTTTTTGTCTATTCTGTACTCTTCTGTCTCCTTCAGTTAAAAGGAGATGTTGGACATAAGGACATAACCAGGAATGAGTGGTTGCTCACTAGTTAGAATATCATTTCCTAAATAATAGGCCATAACGCTTTGCAGTATCACCAGGTATCCTTGGGGTCTTGATTTTTTTAGGTTATTTTCAGATATGTATGTATGTATTGCTGACTTTGGCCTAAAGTGTAGGAGATAAAGTATGGTAATGAGAAAGGAACATATTGGGTATATGTACGCATGTTCATGTAAGTAAAAGAGCATTAGGATAGACGTTAAGAGACCTTGGACTGGTCACTACAGTTTACTGAGATTCATCTATCAATCAGGAAAAACACTGACCAAAATTGTACTAAATGGAGTGGTAGGTAATCACCTGTATTGCCAAAACATCTTATTCTACCTCTTCTCACTTCTGATATAGACATTTATAGCAAATTTACTGGGTTGAAACATTAATGTAAAATACAGACATTTTCCCACCAGGCTCTACCATTCTTCAGTAGAGGTAACAAGTGCCTCCTTATGAGGTTTCTTTTAGGGTGACGGAAAAGTTCTAGAATTAGATAGTGGTGATGGTTGTGTAACTGTAAAAATACTAAAAACTGCTGAATCATATGCTTTAAAAGGGTAAATATTATGGTACGTGACTCATATTTCAATAAAGCTGTTATTTAAAATAAAACAATAGATGAAGGGTAATGGTTGAAGTTTGAGGAATTCCAGATGACTTGGACAAGGATTAATTAGTAAAATGTTTGCTATTACAGGTTTCAAATTCTCTCCTGTTCATTGTGACATGGAGGCTCAAGCTGGATCTACTCAAGGTAAGTGTTTTCAAGTATTTGACCAGAAATTATTTTGACTTCACACCATCCCTGACACCTATTCCACAAAGTGGAACCCTGCTCCTCTGACAAACAACACACAGGCTGGACAGTGGACGTGTCAGAGATTAGTTTAGTGGCAGCTTATTGGTTTGCTTTCCTCCAGAAAACTTCATGTGTATATGTTGGTGGTGGAGAGGAGGTGAAGGGGAAGCTAGGGAAAAGGATAGACAGAATTTCAAGTAGGATGTGAAAATATTAATTTAGCATGGAGGCAGAGATTGAAATCAGGGGGGGTTGGGTTTGGCTGTCATGACTTTGTACATATGTATGATTTTTTGCATGGCTCTAACCATTAACTCAGTGTAGTTCAGATATTGTCATAACTTTCAGATGTCACCTAGCAGATGGCCTTTGTCTTTTCCTCCAGATGCTCCTGCTTGGCTTTAGAATCACACTTTATCCATATCATCATTATAAGCAACATCTTCAAATGAAAAAAAAAATGTTGTTCACTCTTTTTTCTGTAAACCTATATTTATACTATGTCAATCCTCAGTAAGGGGGCTTTGTTGTTCTTTTCCTTTTACCTTCATTATTCTCATTAGAGTTTGCCCCTTTGCAGAGGGATACTGAAAGCAACATTTTAAATGATTTTCACGACTCAGTCTGTGCTGGGCCTTTCTCAAACACCTTATGGGAGGGCCCCCAGATCTGACCACCGGACAGGGACTCAAAATTTGGAGGGGACTGGTATATTAAGGTTTAGAACAGTATTTGTAAAAGAAGAACAATACACATATTCACTATTATTATTAGATCTGCATTTCAAAATTTCCAAACACAAGTTTCATTTCTTTATCCCATTTCATCCTTTACCACTCTGTGAAACAGATTCTATTATTAGTCCCATTTTACATACGAGGAAGTGCTAAAACAACAGTTCAGAAAATAGCTAGCTAAATGCAATAAACTGTTTCCCAAATAGCCATTGTTTCTTCTCTTGGATCCTGTATGTATGCAAGATGTGAACTTGAACAACTTTGCTCAGCTTAGAGTCCTGTAGGTCTTACTCTGACTCCTACTACTACTTTCAATGAGAAGAATATAATTTGGGATCTTACTTATGACCTATGGTAAGATTTCACCAATGTGGATTCCACAGATTTTAATTGATGACAACCAAGCCTGTCCTGCCTTCAGTATTTCCATAGATTCTTGCACAAGAGGTTTGAGTTGAGATGAGAGTGTAAATGGCTTTTCTGAAAGCATATTAATTTGAGGAAACAAGTTATTTTCAATGAATTGAATTTGGTGTTTGTGTGCAAATGTTGCTATTTATTCCCCGTTGATCTCATCCATTCATGAAAGCATGCCTAGCAGGGCATCTATTTCATTGATTTGAGTTTGCATATTATTACATTTGAAAAGAGTAAAACTGCTTAAATATTTTTGATTTATTTATTTCACTACTTCAGACTCCATACCACCCCATCCCTATACCTCAATTAATGTTAATGACATTTTATTTTCTTTCTGTCTTCTTATACTTTCTGGTTTTTAGATTATTGATGAGAAAATGGGCACATTATCATGGGCCATCTTAGGACGATTTAAGGCTCATGGTGTGAAAGTGAGGTGAAAATGAGATAGGAGAAATTTTTAATTTGTATGAGTTGTCTAACTGAGAAAGATTCTGAGAAGTGGTATTAAAGATGCTTACAATTCTACAGCTCTTATAGGCTTTGCTCTTTTCTCTTGTTTCTCTGCTCTATTTCTGTGACTGATTTATTTAATTGGAGGGTGTTATCTTCAAGCTCTGAGATTCTTTCTTCTGTTTGATCTACCCTGTTCTTGAGACTCTCCACTGTATTTTGTAGTTCCTTGAATTGATTCTTCATTTCCAGGAGTTCGGTTACACTTTTCTTCATTGTGTCTATTTCTTTTCCCATATCCTGGAGACTTTTTGTGGTTTCTTTGTGTTGGTATTGAGTTGTTGTTGCAGCTGGGTGAGTGTTCTTATGATCCACATACGAAATTCCTCTTCTGTCATATTGGTTGCCTGATTTGGTTGGTGTCCGTTTCTAGGGGCTGGTGCTCCTCTTTGGGGGTGTGTTTTCCGTTGGTTCTTCATATTTCCTGAGTTCTTTCGCTGATTTCTTCCCATGTCGATCAGTTGTTGTTTCTTTCCTTAGGTTATTGTTTGGGTATTCACACACCTTGTTTAGTTTCTGAGGCGTTAGGTGGTGTCTGTGGGTGAAATGGACCACTCCCTGTATATTGAGTCAGTGGGTGCCGTGGAAAGGCTGTGCAAGATGCCGTCCCTGTCAGTAGGTGGCGTTTGCTTGGAGGAACAGGCTATACTGTTGATTTTGTGTGCTGTTAACAGCTCTTGTTCTGGGCGGAGCTGGGTTGGGTAAGCCTGCCCTCAGGCCGTTAGCAGGGGTCAAAGTTCTGTTCCCTACAATTCTATCCGCCCTAGGAGAATATGAGTTAGGTTTTCTACTTACATTTCCAAAATCGTGTCTATAAGGACTTGTTTCTTTCATTTCATTAATTAGCCAAGCCTTTCAGAATATTTATTTTTTTCACATTTCATCAACTCTATTTGATTGCACTTAATTGAATTTGTCTATGACATTTTATAACCCATAAAGAGTTATAATAAATAACCCTTAATTTCAGTACTGAGACACATGGATTAAAAGACCTAAAGTACAGGGAAGGGAGACCATGAGGTAATAGAAAGGAATCTGTATGTCTAGGTTTACACAGGGGTGTCAGAACACTAATGCATTATGTTTCCATTCCCTCAAATTGTTCTAAGTAAACACTTTGTCTCATCTATTGATGCTTAATTGTCTATTGAGAAAAATGCTGAGTCACTCAGCTTCATCCTGAGACCTCTGAGCAGTCAACACTGGGGTGATACTTTGATATCAGCCCTCATGCTTTATTCATTTTACCTTTTTCCCATTCCCATTTCACCTTACTGACAACATTACTACTCTTGATGGGCTAATGCTAGAGTTGTATATTTTCTGTCCTCACAATGGTTGTTAATAAGCACTAGACTGGAAGCTACTAGAAGACAGGGCCTGGTTTATTCACTGCTGTAACTTTAATACTTAACAGTAGTGATCCACGTGTAACACTGTTTTAACTGATCAACACTTAAGTGCACATATAGTAATAACATTCATCGGGCATCAGGCAGATGGGGGGAGGAGGGAATAAGTATATTCACACCTAATGGGTATGGTGTGCACCATCTGGGGGATGGACATGCTTGAAGTTCTGACTTGGGTGGGACAAGGGCAATATATGTAACCTAAACATTTGTAGCCCCGTAATATACTGAAATAAAAAAGAAAAAAAAATACTTAGCAGTGAGACCTCGAGTATAGTAGGCAGCAAATATAAACTGAGATTTAATAAATTTTTTGTGGATCTTCTCTGATCATGTGTGACTCTTATAAAGACAGAAATGCTACAGTGGGTCAACCTCTGGTCATCTAGCCTCTGGTAGGTGATCTAGTCTCTGTCTCTGATAGGTGACCCAGTGGAAATTCTTAAAAGAATTTGACAGCCTACTTGAGGATAAACCTCAGTGACTAGGGTATCCCTCAATAATTATTACATATGACTAAACATTGGGCTGGTGGAAAAAACTATAACAGAAGCTAAATTTGAATAATCAATTTCCAAGTATGTGTTTTTCACATATAGCCTGAATGGAAAAATTAGGCTATAAAACATGAAAATGAAATTATTTATCCAGAAGCTAAATAAATGGCGAGAAATAGGTAAAGAAAAAAAATTTGTATCCTGTAAATAATGCAATATAAATCCTCCCAAAATTATTTATACTTGTAGTCTTGATGATAGTGATATTTCTGTTAAAGCAACATTTATTGAGAACCTTCTCTTTGCCAAACTCTGTATTGGAGACTAGGGATATATGAAAGATAAATAATATGCAATCCCCAAGCTCAAGGAATTTACAGTCTAGTGGGGGAGATTGATGCCCTGTTAGTTAGGATTGGTCATTACAGGTAACAGAAACCAACTTGAGCTAGCTTAAACAAAAAAACATGCAGTGGCATCATCATAGCTCACTGTAGCCTCAAACATCTGGGCTCAAGTAATCCTGCTGCCTCAGTTTCCTGAGTATGTGGGACTACAGGCATGCATCACCATGCCTGGATTTTTTTTTTTTTTTTTGTAGAGATGGGGGGTCTCCCTCCAGGCTGATTTCCAACTCCTGGGCCCAAACAATCTTTTCACCTTGGCCTCCCAAAGTGCTGGGATTACAGGCATGAGCCACCACACCCGGCCAACAAACTTATTAAAAGGACGTAAATATGCTTCACAGGACTCAGGGCATGAATGTAACTAGACCACAAGAAGGGATTAAATCAGAAGAATTATCAGGACTTTGCCTTTGCTTCTGAACCTGTTTTCTTCAGCACTGTCTCTGCAGATTGACTTTCTCTAAATCTCTATCCTCAAGACAAGCTTAAAACCCCATCCCCTACAAAACCCCAGTTTATATTTTTTCTGTTCAGAAAAGAAGCTAAGATTAACTAAATGTTTTTAGTGCAATTTCTAAATTCCAAGGAGACAGAAAAATTTTCCCAACTTGAGTCAGATGTCTACCACTTGTCCCATCAGCTACAATCAGAGGGTAAGGTCAGTAATATAAATGTTGCTTTCTGGGAGCTCACCCATTTGTTTCTTTAAACAGTTCCCTATTCAGGGCAGTCAGTGTCATGTGGGCACATATACCTGAAGAGGACATATATACCTACTAGGGCACATATACCTACTAGAGAGGATAAAAAGATAATTTTAATACATTCTAATTAGTACCATGATAAAATATGTGCAGTTTTCTCTGAGAGCACTAGGGATATAAAGCCATTTATTAAAGTAAAAATAGTTATATTAATGCAATCTAAATAAATAATGTTCTCTGTACAGTGAGTGGTTAAAAACAG